CCAATAAACAGAGTGGATTCCAAAGCGTTCCATTGTGCGCCCGTTGATGCCTTTTCATCCGGACCTGTGTGCTTGATACGGCGTTATAAGTATGTCTCCAATGAGAGTTCAGGCGTACATTAGTTCATACCTCGCGTGTTACGGTGTTGGTACCTCAACGCAAGGGAATATGTGTAATAAATGTGCAAAAATTCGTACTCTGCGTTGGTTATGATACCGACACTCAAGGAACAAAAGCTTCACCCTTGCAACTTGAGGAAGACAGCGGCATTTCAATCGGGCAGGCAAGGGCTTATGGCGACGTGAGACAACTCGGCTTTTACCGGTTCAGCCCGTGGACTTCCTGAAGACCCCGGCATACTGGTATATATGTTTGATCCTAGTGCGGACATAAACGGCCAATTTTGAGGCCCTATGTCGGATATTTAGGCGGACATAAAGCCCAAAATTTCGGTCCATGTCCGGTATATCACGGCGGACACAAGGGCCTTGCCGGTCTTGGTGTCCGATCACCTGGCGGACATACCAAGTCGTCGAAGTGTCACACCCAGTAGTCCTTGTACTAGGTTGAGTGGTGTCTCTTATGCTTCTCAGTCAACTGTCAGCTCGTCTCGTGTATATCCAGGTATATCCTCAGCAACGGTGAATGAAATGCAAGCTTTGGAGACAGTGGTGGATCTTAGGAAGACTGAAATACAATATCCCGGAGTAATCATGTCACGATCTACTCGTTGCAGCGTTGGGCGTGTGCCGGTTTCGAGGTTGGATCCGTTTGGCGGACACACCGGGGGGCGCCCGAGCATAGGTCACTTATGCGGACATAAGCAGCCCAATTTGGGCTGCCCGGATCCTAGAGGCGGACAAATGTGTGAGGCCATAAGGGCCGAAAATCGGGCACTTAGGATCAAACATCAGTACCCATATGCCGGGGTCCTACTTCCTGTTGATCCATTTGTGGACCATGGCAATCGAAACCGCGATTGGTACTGGCCTCTTGCTCGCATCTGTACATACTTGGTCTATGCCTTCTGACTCTGATTACAATTATTAATACACCAGAACGTCTATCGAGCGTCACACGGAAATCATTGAGTTTCTCTCGCCGTACTTCTGAACGTGAACCATTGCAAGTTGATGACAATGTACGATGCGACCCGGGGAGAGCCAGGATTAGAGAAGTACTGAGTCAAGAGAGTAATATAATGTGCGTTTTCTGTCGATATACTCTACTCCGTCGACAAAATTCATCATTACTGAAAGCACCAATACGTAGGTGTACCATATGGTCCTATTGCGGGGTTATCTCACTGATCGCAACGGCCATTCGTTCGCGTTGATGATATCGAAGTCCACGCCGCGTATGAAATGATGTCTTGTTGTGTTCGCAGCTGCAAGATGCTTTCCCCCCTCTGGTAACCTCTCCAGTTCCCTACGCAGGAGGGCTTCAAACGTGCTACTGCGCAAGACTTGCCAGATATTGCTGTATCTGCTGCCGTTTCCCCCGTCTATATTGACCTATCCGACCTCTATAGACCCTAGACTTCTGGAGGACTATATATATACCCGCGGGAACGGGAACAACAGTAGGAATTGGTTTCCTGACTGAGGCGAGGTTTCCTTCGAAAATTGATACGGATTGATGTCTCTGCTATGCTCAGTCTGAATGCATGGCCGCGACATGGCCAGTATAGCCAACGCGACTGTTCAGCCATGCTTGGGACGCGGACATGCGAAGCTCTATTCTGCTTAACCTGCGCTCGGTATCACGGCTTGCGTGCACTACACACTTCTGGTGCATATGCGACCATCTCGAATCTGAAGGGCGTCGCCTCAGATGTAAGGTGATGTAACTTTTTGCGTTTACCGAAGTACTGCGCACTTGCCACGGTATCTGATGGGGCCATCATCGGATGCGCGTGCTATGCCAGTGATGATGAAAGCGAGCATACGTGACAGATCATCGCAGGATTCCTGACGCTTTCATGCTCTGACGAAGGCTGCGACGATCTATCGAAGCCTAGGGATACTACAGTCTTGGCAAAGGGTGCCGTGTGGAGAAGAATAGAGTTGGATGCCCAAGGTTGACCGGGACGCGTAACTGTGGCCTTGACATTTTTGAGTCTTGACTTTGCTCAGCCACCGGATCTGTGTGCGATTACTTCTGATCCTGGCGACAGTCGCAGATATACGTTGTGACTCGTCGGTTGGTTCTGACCCCGCTGCAGGGTCGTGTCTTTCTGTGGCTGCAGTCATACTTGATTAGTTGTTCAAGATATCAGGCAGCGCTCCCGATGCCTCGAGTCCGCTTCTCGTAGATCTCCTGGTCCCCGCGCCACACTCAATGTTCTTAAACAGACACTCATTCTTCCTACACTGCTGTCTCCATCTATCTTGGCACTGATTTTGAGATGTGCTGATATTGAAACAGAACCATAGACAATTGAGCCGCAATCACATAGTTAGTCTTGGACCCAGCGGCGAACTTGTTATAAGGGGCCGGCAAGCAAGCGTATGTCTCCTTCGATCGTGCGCCTTTTACCTACTGACTTCTACTCCGCAAGATTCGCGATATTCATCAATAAATGGGTGGATTCTCCTTTCGAGAGGTCTGGTCATCCTATGCCGTGCCTATTGGCCTTCTGCGCTTATCGTACGAATCTTTCCTTCTTAGTGGAATGTGCTCTGGCTATGGGTAATATTCCTCGTACTGGCATGGAAGTAATCGAAGTCTAACTCCTAGTGCATCTGGAGATCGTCAGTATGCTCTACGGTGCGTGGTTTCTCCCACTCGACCTTCTCCGTATTCAAGGGGCTATTCCCTTAGGTTGCCACGTCGTGTTCTTCTCTGTATCCCTCTACATCATGTTGTCCCGGTGGAGTCGGTCGCCGTCGCGCAAAGTTTTGTTTCTATCCATTATAAGTCTGTTTGTGATATCCACGGCGGCAGTGACATTAGCCTTCCTCATGGCGTTCCTGACCACTGAAGTGGTCTCTGACGGGTCTTACCCAGGTGAGACGCAGTTTGCATTGCATGAGAAGGATACATAGAATCTTTTGGGGTGTATAGTGATTTCGTTGATGGCCATTAGCAAGTGAGACACACAGTCTTAAAACTTAGTATTGCCACTGATGTTCTGCCATAGTTTTCTAGCAGATGCGCTCGTGGTCCGTGCATCTCTGTTGAAAGTAACTGTCACGCTAAGCCTTTCCCCGAGATTTGGCGCTGTCACATCATCTGCTGCCGCAAAGTTGCGGTACTGGTAGTACCCATTACGTTCTTGATTGTTGGGTTTGGTATGTATGGATCTTACCGCCCGAAGTACCCCACTAATGCTGCTTCCCCGAGGCCTGGGATGGGCCGATCTTGCCCTGTGCATTATCCTGTTCAAGATAAGATTAAACGCTCCTTTGTCCCAGATCGAACCTCCCGCAACATTTCTCCGTACATCAGAATGGGAGGGCTACATCCGCGTCTGCTGTTGGACCGCGTCTCTCGTAATAAATCTGTATACGACTACTCTCATAGGTGAGCGAACCGCAATACAGTTGTAAACAGTACGTTCTGCTTGACCTGGGACACTTGTGTAGCTGTCAAGATATGGCGGGTCAGTCGAGCGCAGCGGGAGATCGCCTATGCGTGCAGGAAGACCTATAGTTTTCTTTTGAAGCTGATGTCCGTGGCATCCATTCCGTCGATTCCTACTGACGTATACATGGCTTCCAGAATTGAATCTGGCGCTTTGTACCTAGCCAGTGTCATATTTTCCCTTGCCATCTGGCTCAGTCTTCCATGGGTAAGCACGCTGAACTGCATGATGGTGGGTGGCTTCACTTCGGTGGCGACAGGAGCAAACTCCCCTCAAGATTACAAGTGTCGTGCCTTGTGTTACTGCTGTGCGTATTCCTACCTAAATTCACAGCACGTTTACCATCTATTCATCTCGAAGCCTCCACATAGGGGATTTCACCCACATTCCTGGTGGTATTCCTTACACTGGGAAAGGAAAAAGTTGACGAGCATAGGATACCTCAGATACATGGTGATGGCGCACTGCATGCTGTAAAACTTTCTATGACCGTCATTTCCTTCTATCGCCCGCCTGAGAGATCCTTTGCTCTGCAAGTCTCAGCAGCTTCGCGATATTCTCCTTTCGACTTCCACGCCGGCGAAGTAGATTATAGACAACGAATCGCTTGATTCATTTTGATGATTTTACGTCACTCCAGCTTCTGGCTCATGTACACTACTACTTCGTCCTTCTGTACATCTTCTCTAGAAGTACCTTAAATATGTCGCGCTTCAAGCCAGGTTTGTGTACGCCTCCCGCTTCCTCTGGGATGGCCTCAATGAGTCTCGTAATCCTCTCATAAGCATCATCTTCATAAGCCGCGTACCGCTCCCGGAGTCGCAGCTCTTCAAACACCTCGCGCACCCTTCTCTCTCTCTGTTCGTCCTTCCGGCCATAGTTCTCTTTTAATATCCACCTCTGCTCCGGCGTGGCAAGGGCAAGTGCGGTAATAATGCACCAGGAGCATTTATTGTTGATAATATCCGTCCCGACCTTGCCTGTGTGCTCTGAATCACCAGCATAATCAAGGAAATCGTCTTGGATTTGGCCATACTCTCCCAAAGCACATGAGAGGTCTCGCAGGATCTGTAGGGATTCATCAGTCACTGAGATCCTGCACATTGCCATGGCGAGTGCAACTGGAAGATGGATTGTGAAGAAGGCCGATTTGTATATCGCTATGCGTCGGTACCTGTGGAAAATTGAGAACATGCAACCAAACAATACGAGATCGGCAACGGTATCACCCTTCGAACGAGAATTTGCTCAGGTCGACCTTGTCCGAGTTTTCTGTGGCTGTAAGCAGATCCAGAAGTTGACCCATCTCGGTCTCATACGTGATCTAAAGAAGGGCCATCTCAATGATAGTACTAGGAATAACACGCGGGAGTACGCACATCCTGAAACAGCTCGAGGAGATCCACATAGTAGGACTCCTGACGGAAATATTTCTTCAGCAAGAAGTATATCGCCGACTCAAGCATGAAGGCGTCGTTAATGGCGATGAGGTTGACTCCTTGCATTTTGTACCAGCACGGCTTGCCTCGTCTAGTTGCGGAGTGGTCCATCACGTCGTCCGCGACCAACAGCCAGGCTTGTAACTGTATAGCTTCAGTCAAACTCGTATCCAAATACGTAAGAGCATGACTGACCAACTCCACGCACCAGCCTAAGATTGCTGCTTGGAAGAACTCGCTGTCGGAGAGGATCCGCTCTCTCAAGATCTTAACTGACTCGACCACGAGGAGACCTCGGAGACGTTTCCCTCCCGAGGTATTGTGGTCGATATTCTATGCCGGGAGGGTTTCAACGATTGCTCCGGCCTATGTTCATTAAGGTGCTACGCACTCGTGCATACCACTCTACCGCATCCTGAGGCATACCTCTTCCTCGAAAATCGGCAAGTACGTCATCTCTCAAAACATTCCAGACCTCCTCAAATCGTTGACGTTCTGTCCTCTTGTCCTGCGCCGCTGGTAAACCGTCTCGAGCGATGATAACAGCGGTCGAGCTAGCCATGACCAACGTCAGACGAAGAGGGGCGGAGTTATGGGATCCTATATCCAGGAGGTCTGCCATTTTGTCCGGATATAACCATCGATAGAGAAAGTCGTGCGCTTCTCGGATAGAATATCCAAAGCGAAGCCATTTGGAAGCGTGCTAAACATACCCCGAAGCCGAAGCTGAGACGAGCATAGGATTAGCTTGTGCACACATACCAGCAGGAGAGGACCAGACGTCGAGGATTAACCTTCAGGTTTGACTCCAAGCCCCAGCATTCAACTCAAACAACAACGTTGAGCTCAAGCGCGCTAGGCACTGTTAACAGCGTGCAAGATTGATCAGGAAGCCGTACATGGAGTTACTGTATGAGGGCGGTCTCTCTCACCGCAATCTATGTATAATTCGACCCACGATGTTTATCACGTCATGGATGCGCCGGCGAATTGTTCTGCGAGAGCTTCATACCAAGGGCGCCCGTCTTAGACGGCGAACGTCCCACTAGCCTTCGATTAGAGGGATGAGTTGCAGGTTCCAGCGCAAGCCATCGTCACTGCAAGGTTTTATTTCGAGGAATTCCATAGCAAACATACGAGTCGACCCACCGGGTGATATGATCCTCCAATATAGACAGCATTGGCCAAGGTTTATCCCACTCTTCCCCGCAATCGTAATGTGTTATCCAGTCGACATAGATTGACATGCGGAGATAATCCGCAGTTCTCCACACGTCCAGAGAGATATCGCCACACAAGTCGGATGAGAGTTGTCCTACATTCTCCGTGATACCGGTCGCAAAAACCGAGATACGCCCTTCCTTATGCCGTAGGTACGCTCGTTGTTCTACCGTCAACGGCGACCACATCACGGACGTGTCCTTCCCTTTAACCGCATCAAAGCTCCAGGTATGATACGAGGCAAGTGGAAGCTGCCCATTGTAACCCATCTCGCCAACGACGGACTGCCAAGGACCTTCGAGCGCCACTTCCATTATACCTCTAAGTACCTAGTAATACCCAGTGTCGGGGAGAAGTCTTACAATGATTGGGGAAAAGGCTATGACGTACCCGCCATTCTGAGCAGAACTCCACGGGAAGGAGGAACTGCCTTCCAAATGGATCCCTCAACGTCAAAGGGCGCTGATCACAGGTGCGCCCGCCTTCCCAGGGGTAGCCGACGAAACGCGGTGAAGCCTTCCGCGTCTCAAGCACCTTGGAGAGCACCATCTTCAACTCACACCGCATGGATTCAGTTATCGCGCGCACGTCGTCGAGTGCAGAACCTGCAGTCACCACTCAGTGATGTGTCTCTTCCAGAGTAGTCCTGTATCAGATATCCATTTGTTGTCACAGAAGTTAAACCGTCCGTCCAGGAAGGCCGAGTCTAGGCCGTAGCATACTCACTGATTCAGAATGGATAGTGCAAAGTCGATAGATTCTCGGTGCCTCTGTACCTGTTCTCTGTATCTCTGCAGCTCTTTCTCTCCGAACAACAGCCAACCCGCTCTTCGCCATAAATCCTGCCATTCCTCAGGAGATCGCAACTTCAACCGCGACTGATGCCAGATGATATTTCGCTGCATTTTTCCAAGAGATACTCGACAGTGGGCGATTCTTGCCTCGATATCCCGGTGCGACTCGTTGTAGCCCGGCATCGCTGCACGTCTGCATGCATCCTGGAGGTCCTGCCGGAGCCTTGAAATTGATCCCAATAAATTGTTCAGCTCCAGTAAGAGGTCGCTATAGCGCTCGGAAGAGCCCCTTGTGCTTGCAAGTTGAGTAATCACAGACGTAGCGAGTTGTAGTAGAGTGACGACGTCCCCAAAGGAGCCAAATGTGAAAAGTACGGACATTGCGACGATGTGGCACTACTCCAGAAGGTATATCCACAGCAGAAGTACGGAAGCACAGCGCCAGATGGATGCTCGAGACAGGCAGGGTCGGGACACAGCGCCTCGGGACCATTATCGTCTGGCGTGATGATCACTGTCATCGACAGTGCACAGCAGGCCAGGCGGCGAAGGTCATACGGCGTTATGGCAATACCCAATTTGCACAGTGCTAGTACTACAATCCGCGTCGTACCATCGAGCCCAAGTAGTATTGCACTCCGGTTTTCAGAGGTCGCGTACTGACCGCACGGGAAATCGAACAGTCCTATAGCACCGGTATTGTAACCAATAGTGCTACCAAGACCCTAGTATCGATGTCCTGCTCGGAGAGATTTGACGCTTGAGCACTCATATCTTGACAGTAGCGAGACGTTGTTAATGTCAAGGTCCAGAGAGGCAGCTAGAAGGAGATGGAGGAGCACCTCGGAGAATCAAAGGATGATATCATCGAGAGCGACATCGTCTCGAGATGGCGTTTGACTGTGTAGCAGATCTCAACTACATACAATACAGATCATGACAGTGCCGGGATAGCTCAGCTGGGAGAGCAACAGACTGAAGTTCTGGAGGTCCCGTGTTCAATCCACGGTCCTGGCATAGGTTTTAATTTTCAATACTCTACACTCTGATTTTGCCTGTGTTCTTGACCTCTACGACAGTGCTTACACGCATGGTGGCATGGTTGCTGCGCGGTTCGTTTCAGTGACAGCCTTTCCTGAGCGCTTGTGCATCAAACCTCCCTGGCGCAGTCGCTCTGGAACGTCATCTTTCAGGAGACATATGAAGACGGTCTATTGCAATATCAAACGTACAGGAGCCATTATCTGACGATGCCCATGCTGATGCTGCTTGTCAGGCAAAAAAGAGACGCGACAAGCCACCAGGCTGAGTGGAATGCTACGCCATACCGCAGGACAGAATATGAAACTTAACGGACCGCCAGCTATCTTTTCACACGGCCTTCGTACTATGAGTAAATACCCCTGCAGGATCGTCTGGTCGATGCATTTTATCATCGCTATGTTTCGAGGTGTCCTCGGCATCCGTGATTGTTACGACGTCCCGCATGACGTGTACTTGCTGCAACCGAATATTGGCATTGGTATCCAACGCTGATCTGGTGGTTCCTCGGAATCGTAAACCGTTGCTCTGTTTTGTGAGGACTGAGAACAGGCTCGAGAGTGCATGCACTGAGGGAAGTATACCTCTGTATCAAACTCGACACCAGAGCCGTTCATGCTTGCTAAGGATGTGCGGCCGTTGAGAGTATCCAGGAGGGTCTACGTCAAAGAACTTGGGAGTGAGAGGGGAGTACACGAGGCAATGACTGGGAATCTTACGTTCGTATAGATGCGACCTATCGGATACGCGAACATCGCATACAGATTCGTCTGCCGATGCAGCAAAAATCCGAAGAGGTCTCCGAGTGCGAAGATGGATGCGAAGAGACCTGTCTGCACCGCACCGCGGATTAGGCGGTTGAGGATCCTGTTAGTCCTCTGTATACCGCCCCGGGATCGGTATAAAGCCCAAGAAAGAACGACTGGAGCATGCTGTCAGGAATAGGCGGAGGGGGACATGAGTTACCATACATGTGATAGACAAATCAGCGGCTGTCTGGAAACCTAGCCAGCAGATAACCAGCGGAGCGAGGACACCGAAGCCGGCAACACTAGCAAGGGGAACGATAAGATCATCACTGGGCAATGCGCGGCGGACTTACTCCTGTATAATCCCAGAACGGATCCCAGCAACAACACCCGAGACGAAGCCGACGAGACTTAGGGTGCAGATTGTCCCGGTGAGCACCCAGCTCTTCGTGAGGCGGAACACTCTACGGGGTAAGACACATCGTGAGTATGCGCGGTCCATTTGCAATGCGGGAAGCGGCGGCACTCACCGGTCAGCGAGGAAGAACTGGGTGATGATCGCAGCGAAAGAAGTCGCTATAGCCGTAAAGGGAATCTCCCACCCAACAGCTATAACATTGTCAGTAGCCGAAAGCGGGTAGGAGACCCTCGAACCTACTCAGGATCACCGCAGGGTTGCCGAAGTTCGCTACGCTAGCGGCAGCTTTAGCTCAGGGAATTATGGACACGCCAAAGCATCCCATCCACTTACCAGAGTCTCCATGCATTGTAGACGCCCCTGAAGTCACGTCATTGGAACGGGAACATGAAGGTTAAGGGAATACTCGTACACAATGGTGTGCACCGTATCGAGGACAAATAGCGAGCCGACAACTGCCCTGGAGGAGCGATCGTCGTAAGGCACGAGCTGCGTAATACGCAGGTCGAGAACTCACTTGACTCTCCACGGGTCATTGAACTCTAACGATTCGGACAATCGTTGTTAGAGCCTGCCAATTCCGGTCTGCCGAAGGCATGTACTCACTCGTGTTGGCGTACGTCAGGAATTGCCATGACACAAGACCGTACAGGTAAGTGTTGACTAGACGAAGCAATCAGCATCAGAGAAAGAGCTTCGTGAAGGGGGGAAAGGGAGACGCACAGAAGATACCAAGAAGGAGAATGCCTGAGCGTGGTATAACGGACAGTTAAAAGTGATGATGATGCGAGGAGCGAAGCTCACCAATGGTGGTATCGAAAGCCCCCATGATACACGATTGGACCAGGCGTCTCGTTCAGATGCGTTTAGTTGGAATATATATGAGCATTGGACTTTACATCTGACTGGCTCTCGAGCTGAAATGGTAAATTGCAGCCGCGCGCTTCTGGAACACACATCATATTGCAGCGAGAACCAACGCCGCTGCTTCCTTGCCTCTGCCTCGGCCTATTGTTCGCGACTTAGATCGGGCTACAATCTCGGTATCAGGGACATCTCTTTCCTTCCGAGATGCTTCTCCGTCGGCACCGTTGCAGATTGGAGCACGTGGATACCGACGGCAACCATACACGATTACCAGGCCATCAAATCAGCAACCCTAAACAAACAACCTTGGCCTGCATGCAGCAGACAGACGAGCCCCGGTCTCGAGGATGAACAGAAGCTTTGGGCGTTTTCCAAGTAGTCTCGCCACGATATATCATGTGGATGCTCTGACCGCCGAGTCGTCCGTCCTTCCCATCAGTGGAGCGTATGTATGTATGTCGTACGGAAGCATGCGCCAATTGAAGTGAATGACGAGTGCCCACCAATACTGCAAGATGATTGGCATATATTGCCCTCCGTCGCTGGTTTGGTACTAGTTTGTGTGCGGGCCCTTTGCTGTGGCCCAGTCCATTCTCGCGCTAGTGGATGCAACGTTGAAACCCGGACGAAAAATGGTGACCTGCGTTTGTTACACCGCTAGAAACTGACAGTCTGGCACCGCATGATATCGCTTCCATTGTTTATGCGAATATTTAGTGATGGTGCCGTTGATACAGGACTCACCGGGGCGCTTGCCACATCAGATTGAGACCACATATTCTTGAACCCCAAAGCTAGACTTCTAATGTGGTCGCTTCTGCTTCTTGCTCATGGTTGACAACCTGAACAAGGAGAGTTATCGTCCTGCCTGGTGAACTGTAGGGGGCTTGACGAAGTTGCTCGACTCAAGCTCCCGTCCGAGTCTCGCAGCTGGGGTAATTATAATGAACAAGGTCATGAATTGCGATCGGAGACACTTGCAAGATCGTTACGAGGGTTGTCCCCGACTGCGGTGCCAATGTGGCCAAGGCACGGAACCAAATTTCAAAAAGGTACCTTCCCCAGATAGGCAACTTCAGATATTCGGCATTCGCTTGAGGACGCAGTTTGCTTCACGCTTTGTCACCCCGACGCCGCGTTGTCGTCTAGAAGCCAAGTTGATTTTCCGTGTATTGCTTCTAGTCGTATGTGTGCCCTCGGCAGGTGTTCGGAAGATGGCCTGGCCCTCCTCAAAACCGTCGGCGTGTGTACCCCCATTAGTCCCCACAACTGCCTAGCAATACATCTCCCTCATCCGTCCTGATGTCCGCTACACAACAACTCTCGCAGCTGAAGAGCTTGCAGGAGACGCTCAATGCTGCCATCGATACCTTCAAAGCTGAACTGGAGAAGCAGCAACTTCCGGAGCCGTCCCTGACAACCTCCAAACCTCATCCCATCGATGACATCTCGTACATCCCATCCCCTGCCATGTACGAGGCGAGGAGGACTGGCGTAGCTGCATGCGTACGTTCTACTTTGACCCTGATGTCGGCCCTTTATCGCTTATTCGTGCCAAAACGGCGTAGAACCTGATCAAATACCTGCTCGAGAGTCCCTATGATGCAGTCGGAGGAAATACATGGATGACCCTAGAGTCCGCGGCCATCCGCCTTGCAGCGGATCTCGGAATAGCGGATATCCTGGTTGCCTGCCCTGATCCCGAGGTTGGCCTCACCGTGGACGAGATTGCAAAGAGGACGGAAGTTGATGCTGCCAAACTTGGTATGTACCTTTCCTTAAACGTCCTCCTCGGCCTGCGATCCTCGGTATTAATCCTATGTTTAGAACGCGTTTTGAGGTTACTGGTCTCTCAGAACTGGTTCCGAGAGAGTAAACCCGGTTACTTCGCTAACAACCGTCGCTCCCTGCTCGTCCAGAAGTCGCAGCCCGGTTGGCACCTCATCACGTTCATGTAAGCTTCTCGATCCTGTTGTCGTTTGATTCGTTGTATACCAATTCCGTGTCAGGAACGAGATGTTCCATCGCATCTCCTGCGCACTGCCTGAGCACATCAATAACCCCTCCAAGGAATTCCGGTTTGCCACTGACCCGCACCATACGGCGTGGAACATCGCGTACAAGACCGAGTTGCCTTACTTCGGCGCCGACGGCTGGTTGGCGAAGTACCCGGGAGAGGCAGAGAAGTTTGGTTTGGCGTCAGTCGCTCTTTATACGAGATGAGCGCCGCTCATAGTGTTTCTCCGCCTTAGGATGGGTGCGGTCGGTCCGACCTCTGATCCAGGTGTCGCGGCCGATTTCCCATGGGCTGAGATCGCAGCCGGGAAGGATGCCATCGTCGACGTCGGTGGTGGACAGGGAACGCTGTGCTGCTCCCTGGCAGCTAGGTGAGAATTCCCGAAATGTCTGGCTGGTGCCATCAGCCCACACCAGAGTGCTGACTTAGACAAACCTCAGATACCCTTCGATCAAGCAGTTCGTCGTCCAGGATTTACCCGAGACGCGCGCCGCTGCGGAGCCGTTCATCGCGTCCAAGGGCTTGACCGGTCGCGTTGTTTTCGAGGAACAAGATTTCTTCAAGCCGCAGAGGAGGAAAGGCACTGGCACGTATGTCTTTGTCATGCAACGAGGTACGGAGGATTCCTCCCATCTTTCGCCCTGCCTTGGTCTGTATCTTATACTAACGATTGGTCTCTTGCAGTTCTGCATGACTGGCCGACATCCGAGGGCGCGCGTATGCTGGCTCAGATGCGTGATGCGCTCAAGGAGTCGCCGGGATCCGTCCTCCTCGTCATTGATACCATCATCCAGCCCGGGTTCCTTTCGACGTCTGGTCCGTCGGCAAAGGAGAGTTTGGAGAGCGAAGAGAAAGTGGGGATTTACAAACCGATCCCTCCCCCGCCTTTCATTCCTGCGGACTTCGGCGAGGCCAGCCGGATCCCGCACCAGGTCAACGTCGCCTTGACCGCCATGTGCAATAGTATGTGCTATCATTCCTGCGTTCATAGCATCAATCTGATGTAGGGACCGTGTAGCGTTCGAGAGGACGTTGCCGCAGCTCAAGGAGATGGTCGAGTCGGCCGGTCTGAAGATCAAGGAAGTACACGCCACCAGGTAAGAAGGTCAAACTCTATCCGTATGCGTTTCTGATCGTTCGTGCTATTTTAGGGGTTGGGCATCTATCACGGAAGTGGTCCTGCCTTAAGCGGAACCCGAGAGGTTCCCTGGCGTTAACTGCTGTCCGTTCTTTTGTGTACGAGTTACGAGAATGCGGACAGGGTTTATGCAATGTTAGAGATGGCAGGAGAGAAAAACCGCCTTCAGAGGTGGGGAACTTCGCTGCGATCTTTGCTAGCCTAGTCATGTACGTGGAATCGAAAGCAGCTTTGCACCACTGCCTCTGAGGGTCTGCCAAAGTAAATATCAAGTACGTGCAGCTCGTGTACTGTACTATGGCCCGAGGCAAGTTCAGAACACATAGCCTACAATAATAACAGTTTGACGCTGTCTTCCACAAACGTTATGCTCACCCTGATAAGGCAGTGTTCGCACATACAGAGAGCACCGATCTGGAGCTCACATCCACTACTAGTAGTTCTCGAGAGTTGACTTGCCATCTGGAAGTGACAACGGCTCTTTGACAAACATACGTCCCATTTTGGAAGTTCTAGCGTCCCACGCCACAGCCACACTCTTATCTTCCTCCTCGTAGAATATTTATCTGATCCTGAAGTCGCTCGCATGCTAATATGCCTCGTCCTCAAATTGTCGCCCTTCTCATAGATTTGTCTGGCACACTACATATCGGCTCCGATCCAGTCCCTCGCGCAGTCTCCGCCGTCCAGAAACTGCGGCAATTGAACATTCCTTTCCGCTTCTGCACTAATACGAGTAAGGAGTCGACGAATGATCTAAAGGACCGCTTGCGGCGTATGGGCTTTGAAGTACGACCTGGCAATAACGGGGAGCAGGAAGAAGTCTGGACGAGTATAGGAGCAGTGAAGCGCGCCCTAACAAGCAAGGGCTTGAAGAAGCCGTACTTCATCCTGACTGAGTCTGCCATCCAAGAGTGCGCCTCAGCCCTCCCGTTTTACTCTCAAGCGTCCAATGACGACACTCAATCATACGACTCGGTTGTGGTCGGGCTTGCTCCGGAGCGTTTCACCTACGACACTCTCAATACAGCTTTCCGTACCCTCGTCTCCCCATCGCCCAGCCCAGTTCCCTTCCTCGCGACGCACAGAGCGAAATACATTCGCTCGCCCGATGGGGAACTCTCGCTCGGTCCTGGTCCTTTCGTAACGGCTTTGGAACACGCTTCCGGCGTGAACGTGGAAGTACTAGGCAAACCTTCGACAGAGTTCTTCCAGACCGTCGTCAGTAGTATGCAAATCCCCGATTCGGGAAGAATTGCTATTATCGGTGATGATATCGAAGCTGATCTAGGTGACGGGGCGGTCGAGTTGGGATTCTGGAGGGTATTAGGTGAGTTGATTCTATGCAGGACATACTCGAGAAGTTGATGCTGACGCTTTATGTTCCCAGTAAAAACCGGAAAGTATCGCCCTGGGGACGAGTCAAAACCAGGTGTCGTCCCTGCGGACGAAGTACAAGATTCATTTGCTGCGTTTGTGGACAGTCTGGTCGGAGGACAATGACCAATTGGGATGCCATCGCGCCCTTAGATTACAGACGAATAGATAATAGCGGTGAGCAGCTCTACATGACATAGCACAGTAATAACGTACGTATAAGTGGGAACGTGACGCTCATATCTGCTCATATATAGTGAACCTGCAAGGTAGCTGAACATCAATCCTGTTCCTATTATAGTGCTGTATTGCATGCGAACCCAGCCATCGCTTCCGTTCCTCAAGTCTTTCGTCCTCCGGCCGCTCTGTACTTTTCCGGGCCGGATCAACAAAAGCTAGAGGAATGCCAGGACCGTGGATTGAACACGGGACCTCCAGAACTTCAGTCTGTTGCTCTCCCAGCTGAGCTATCCCGGCGACCTGAGCATGCTGCCAATAATAACTCCTGTCATGCAAGAAGCGGAAATCTGTCACACTCAAACACCATCCGGTCTCATCCAGTGCGCTCAGCGAACAGCACAAGAGCGTAGGGTGCTAGATCTTCTGAGACCTTTGCTCGAGTCGGACGCCCATGGCTTGCAGGATCGATAGTGTGTAGGCTTGCCCAGTATATAGCAGCATTCGTGGAACGAGGGACGACAGTTATGTTGTCCTGTCAGTGATACCGTACCCAGTGTTATCATCGGTAGGGTACAGACCAGCCCTAAGTTTTCGCTCATCTCCACGCTTATACATTTGACTCAATCAAAATGCGCCCCTCCGTCCACCGAAATTGTTTGACCTGTGAATAGACGTCGGCCTCGCCTTTCATGAAGAAGTATCAGTGAACCGCACCTGTTATGAAACTAGATTCCTTCGATGCTAGGAAAGAGACAGCGTTCGCAATTTCCTCGGGCTCTCCGGGCCTTGCGAGTATCGCACGCGCTCCGAGCTAGCATGGCATTCAGATGGCGTATCAAGCGGAAACCGTTATCATGCACTAACCGATTTCACGTCGAGACCACGGCGCACCGCGTTGTGCACTGCGAGGAGAAAATTGTGAGCGGGTGATAATTGGTGTCATAGATTCTCGTGCACTTACTCATTGGCGTATCAATTAGGCCGGGTGCGTATGCATTGACCGTGATACCAAAGCGCCCGAATTATATGGCTGCAAACCAAGCAATGAGGTACCCACCCGAGGTCTTGTGATGGCGACTCACCGGCGGTTTGAGTTAGTGCTCGAACCGCAAATTTGCTCGCACAGTAAGCGGTCAACTCCGGCAGGCCTAGCTTCAGATGGTCAGAAACGTAAGTGCTGTCTCGATTATCGTACCCATTTTTCCTGCTACAGAAGAAGCACCTAATAATGCAACTTTTGAATTGTGGCTGTTGTATGATTCTCGGAATGCTACCTATTATCCTTCCTCCACGGTTCTGCGCAATCATGACCCGCGCAGCGGCTTTATAGCATAGGAATACTCCTTTGAAGTTGACCGAGGACATAGTATCTAAGTCTTCCAGTGTCGCTATAGGGATTTCAGGATGCAGGGAAAATACAGCCGGTTACATACGTACTCTCCAGGAACGATTTTTTGATGGCTATGCCAGCATTAGCCACCATCTATGAACAGGTAAGCGTTGCATCCCTTTCGAATTGTGATTTGTCGCTTACCACATCGAGTCCACCTAGCTTGCCCGCAACGATATCGACCATGTTGCTCACATCTTTCTCTACTGCCACATCAGCGTGCAACGCCATGGCGGTCCGACCGTGCGCCTGTATGTCTTGTACTACAGCCTCGAGCCCAGGCTGCTTCGACGGGAGGTCACAGACAGCGACGTTCATGCCGTCCTTCGCGAACCTAAGAGCGATGGCACGCCCAATTCCCTGCGCGGCACCGGTGACTATCGCAACTCGACGGAAACTCATGTATGGTTCGGACTGAGGGAAATGGGAGGAGCGGTGAATACAGTTCTTTCAACAGGTTCTCATATGAAGGTGAGCTTAGGAGACAGCAAGACCCTGCTCAGCTTCGAAGATCGTCGTGTTTTTTTCAGACCCTAGTGTCATATTAGAATCTGTCAAGCCCTATACGTAGAAGATTCCCTTATAGAAAGCACCGAGCCGAAAGCACGAGAGACGCTGTCAGACACGGGACCCCACACGTGTCGGTCAAGGAACCCTATGTGCCATGGCACTGATTGCTAGTGCTAGAAGCGGAGGGAGATTGGGCACTTCTGTACGTACCTGCAAGGCGTGACACGGACAATGCGGCGCGAACGTCAATAATATCGCCAATTCCAGAGATAGTGAAAATGGTACTAACCGCTCCTTGCCCTCTCAGACGAGCCAAAGACGAGCTGTACAGTATCCTGAGAAGCAAGCAAGGCCTGCGGGTGCTCGACTAGCCTTCGCTCCAGATGATAGCCTGAGGGACTGCCAGACAGAGGCAAGACGAGTCGTTTCCCTCTGTCGAGGCATTTAATTTGCACGAGCAACCGATGGCCAGATAGGAGACAGCGTTCGCAACATCATCGGGCTCCCCAATTTGCTCAAGTATTGCCTTCGCTTTCAGCTAGACTGGCATTCAGCCGGTGAACCAAGCTAGAAAAGAACTTCGACTTACTGGTTCGACGTCGAGACCTCTACCGGCCACGCTACGCATTTGGACCGAGTAAGCCTTGAAGTCGCAGGTACACACTCGATGTCGTTACTGGGACACCTACACATCGGCGTATTGACGAAACCCGGTGCAAACGCATTGACTGTGTTGCCACAGCGCCCGAATTCGACAGCTGCCATCCTGACGATAAGATCTCGCTCAAGAATCTCATAGAGATCTCTGACCTGCAGTTTGAGTCAGTGCTCGAACGGCAAATTCGCTCGATCAATAAGCGGTCAGTCCCGGGGTGCCTAACGAAAACAAGGTGAGGAAAGAAAGTTTAGACGGACATCTGCATACCCATTTTTTCCCGCTACAGGAAGCGCCTGTGACGACATAAGGTATGAGTCACGGCGCTAAGACAATGTCCAGAAGGCAACCTATGATCCTTCCAACTCGATTCTGAGCGATCAGGACCCTTCCAGCGGCCTTGTAGCGTAGGAATACCCCTTTGAAATTGACCGAAGAGATAGTGGCGCTATAGCGATGTAAGCGCACAAGAGAGAGTCTGACGGGCTACATATGTACATACTGTCAAGGAAGGGTTTTGCGACGGTTACCCCGGCATTGGCAACCATCTATGAACTTGAAGCTCAGGACATGCAGTTAGGCGTGATATTGCAGGCCTACCACATCAAGTCCACCTGGTTTGTCTGCAATAGTCTCAACCATGTTGTTCAAATCCTTCTCCACTCTAACGTCCGCTTGTACGGCCATGGATGCTCGACCTTGAGCTTTGATGTCCTGCGCCACGGCCTCGAGCTCGGACTGCTGGGCTGGGATATCGGAGACAGCAACGTTCAAGCCGTCCCTAGCCAGCCTCAGAGCAATGGCACGCCCGAAGCCCTGCGCCGCCCCTGTTACTGTTGCGACGCGGCTCAGACTCATGTCAGACTGGTGGGTAGTGTGTCAGGAAACTATGGACACTTCACCCTTTTTGTAGTGTGTATGAATACTCGACATAGGTTCATCAGAGAACACGACGTTACCGCCATCCCGCATCTACCGTATGTTGTTCTTCCAAGTATCTTCAGCCCGATTAGAATCCGCAGGCCATTCAGTTCTATGAGTTACGATCCCCCGTGGTAGAACAGAATAATAGAAAAGCGGCAGAAAAGAAGAGGAAATCGGCTCGAGAAGCTACGCGTGCTAAGGTCCGAATTTGAATCTTGTGTGCTGCCATAGGAGGATAGCCATCTCTAATGACGCGAAATAAGTACTACACTTCGATGCACTCAGCCCCATTAAACGTCCTACGCGTTGAGAGCGATATAGAACGTACCAGGGAGTGCTCCTGGCGACCTTGAACGAAGGATCTTCTTCCCTAGGACTGCGTTAAGCACTATTGGATCGGACGAACACCCGCGAACGTGACACGCATGGGCTAAGACAAGGCAACGATGCCACATAAGAGTCTCACGAAAATGATCAGTCTGAGGACGGTAGGAGGAAACCGAAACCTTCAGATTCTGCCACCTTCAGTACAGGTCTGGCTTGCAGCTATTCGGCACGAAAACGCACACTGGGACCATCCTCGAGTTTCGACTTCGGATGTTGTCCAGGTAAAGGCAGAACAATGCTTACTGATCCCCACGGTCGCTTGATTTTGCGTTCTGCGTCGTTCCTTCGTTCCCGACTCCTGTGGGTCAGACTCTTGTTTGCTCCTTGTTCATACATCCAAACGCTTATCCCCACCACCACGCTAGAGACAAACCTCACGATGTATAGATAACGCTGCAGAGAATCTTAGGAAAAGTACCCAACCCGAGAACATGATAAGCTACACTTCGGGAGTTACAGTATTTGAGGCCAGGCAGAAGATTGTTACGAAAGGTAATTTCCAGCCAATCAGTTCCCTTTCGTACAATCTTTTGCCCGCCCCTAAAGACTGCAACTCCCGCAGTGGCTAGCTAGGTGCAGGGCGGCCAGCACTATTGGATATCATGGCCTGCCCGATCCATATTGCACCGCCCGCACCAACGACTTTTAAACTGGCATATTGCGTCGCTGATTCAACTTGAGTTCGATGTCTACACCTCCGAAGGTTTCCGCAACGAAAGCTCGGTCACTTTCAGGAATTGGGGCTTAGGTAAACCCGCATCGCCTCATCGGCACCTCCTGGATGAGCCAGCGATATCGCAGTCTACGCCGATGTCGAGACCCAGGAAAAGTTTAGCTCTTAATGATGTCGCGCGTGTCGCTGCCGTCTCTAAGGGGTCAATCCATATGAATCCCCAGACATACCAGATATTTAATCTCCCAGGACAACCACATAGAACGAACATATACGCACCGCTCCGTGATTCATCTGCCACGATCAAACATACCTACAAACGGTTTCCAGATTGTAGAAAACGATCGTTTGGCCGCATGTCGAACCAAGCCGTTGCCTTCCAGACCAGACCACGTAAATGACACAGAGTCAAAAACCTCGTTGCTTGAGCACGAGACGTTTTCCGGGTGCTTTCCTGAAAGTATCCCAGCCCGCGTCCTTATGCTTTATCGACCTCGACGGGGGTGACCGTTTTTGGTACCGTGTATAGGAGAGAAGCTATGCGATATCAGCTCGATATATAGACGCATGCAATGCTACGTCGATGTCAATGTCGAACGTCGAAAGACTCCTTTAGTTACGGAACAGGAAAGGTAAAATTCAGAGATGAAGGACGATATTTACGTCACCGATAACCTACGTAATATCATACTTGACATAACCCAGTTATCCGAAATGAGTCATATATAAAGCCGCGCAAAATCAATTTTTATTCTGGCACTCTCTGCCCACTACCGCCAACACCGTCCTCGACGATGCCGACGAATAAAACCTATCTTGACCCTTCCACTGCTCTCGAGCATCTGAAAACGTACCAGCGCTCCGATGGCCTGTCCGTGCAGGAGCTCATGAACTCGGAGATCCATGGTGGACTCACATATAACGATTTTCTTATGCTGCCTGGAAAGATCGATTTTGGCGCGCATGAAGTTGTGGTGGAGAGTAAGATTACACGCAACGTCGTGCTGAAGACGCCTTTTATGAGCAGTCCCATGGATACTGTCACAGAAGGGGACATGGCTATTGCTATGGCGGTGAGCTCCCTCGTCGACGATAGCTATAGTGGGATGAATTCAATGGTTGTGTTTGCGTCGATAGTTGCTGGGCGGCGTCGGCGTGATCCACCACAACCAGTCTCCTGCAGCGCAAGCGGAGATGGTTCGCCGCGTGAAGCGTCATGAAAACGGTTTTATCACGGATCCGGTTTGTCTTACGCCAGAGCACACGGTCTCGGACGTCTTGGAAATCAAGGAGAAGCAGGGTTTCTCCGGGATCCCTATCACTGGTGCGTTCTGCTCTAACTGTCATTCTTAACGATGATAAACCATTATATAACCTTCGTCCTTCCGAGTAACGCGTTTCTCGTGTGATCTGCGGATATCTTTATAACCTATTATCTGACTCAACTATCGTCTGTGCCTTACGTATGACTCACATGCTCTCCAGACACCGGAAAGCTCGGCGGCAAGCTGCTCGGTATCGTCACGAATCGCGACATTCAATTCCGCGACCCCGACGTGCCGCTCAAGGAAGTCATGACCACGCAGCTCGTCACTGCGTACGAAGGCATCACGCTCACCGAGGCGAACGAAATCCTTCGGGACTCCAAAAAGGGAAAGCTGCCCATCATCGACCGCTCGGGCCGGCTCAACTCGCTCCTTGCGCGCTCGGATCTGTTGAAGAACGAGACGTACCCGCTCGCGTCGAAGCTGCCCGAGAGCAAGCAGCTGTACGCGGCCGCGGCGATCGGCACGCGCCCTGCGGACCGCGAGCGGCTCGCCGCGCTCGTCGAGGCAGGGCTCGACATCGTTGTGCTCGACTCGAGTCAGGGCAACTCGGTCTTCCAGATTGAGATGCTCAAGTACGTCAAGCAGACGTACCCGCACCTTGAGGTCATCGCGGGTAACGTTGTCACGCGCGAGCAGGCCGCGAGCCTCATCGCCGCGGGCGCGGATGGCCTGCGCGTCGGCATGGGCTCCGGCTCGATTTGTATTACGCAGGAGGTGATGGCCGTCGGCCGCCCCCAGGCCACCGCGGTATACGCCGTCGCGGAGTTTGCGAATAAATTTGGCGTGCCAGTGATTGCTGATGGTGGAATCTCTAATGTTGGGCATATCGTGAAGGCCCTGTCTCTGGGCGCAGGCGCGGTAATGATGGGCGGGCTGCTCGCGGGAACGACGGAGGCTCCTGGCGAGTACTTCTACCATGAAGGTAAGCGGGTCAAGGCGTACCGTGGGATGGGCAGCTTGGTTCGTATATCCCCTATCTGCAAATGTCCCTGTTACTCATAAACGGGTGCAGGAGGCTATGGAGCAAGGCAAACCCTTGCCGCCCTCCGTACAAAGCCGTGGGTCAGGCTCCTCTGCATCAAAGCAGCCCCTCCCGCGCAAGACCTCCACGCACGAGAACGCCGCGACCGCGCGGTACTTCTCCGAGTCGTCCGCAGTCAAGGTCGCGCAGGGCGTCTCCGGGGACGTCCAGGACAAGGGGTCCGTCAAGCAGTTCCTGCCGTATCTGTACACTGGTGTCCAGCACAGCCTGCAGGACATCGGCGTCAGGAGCGTGGCGGAGCTGCAGGAGGGTGTTAGGGTCGGTAAGGTCCGTTTCGAGCTGCGGACTGCGAGCGCGCAGGTCGAGGGTGGCGTGCATGGTTTGAACTCGTGAGTGCCGCAGCTTCTGTCTCATCGACGTCTGTTGCTGATCGTACTTCTACACCATAGGTACACTAAGCGTCTGTTTGCATAATTCGTCACGGTCAACTTGGTTCTTCGGAGGCACACATGGGCCTGTAATTCTTCAATCTTATGTAGCCATATAAGTGTATGTTCTATGTCTGCTCAAATCAGCATATCGTCTGCTCGTGTCTTTGCAGCTCTTCCCATCGCACATCAACGTCTCTGCTTACGATGAGAAATGCCAGTTTTCATCGTCCCATCATCTCGGGGAAGGAAATGACGATTTGCCCAAGTCCCATTGGGAGTTTGCTAATTGTCCGTACGCCGAGCGCTCGGTATTCCAGAGGCTCTGAATCTCAATGTCGCCCTACTCTCGCCATCACGTCGCAAGCAGACGAGTATTCCATATAGCGGACTCCTCCACGAGTGAGGGTGAAGGGTTTGGCTCGTCCAGGGTACACTGCCTTACACCTTGCGACGCACTCTGGGAACCACCGGATCCGACAGGCTATGGGAATATTGTCTACGCGGTTTATACAAACGAGTAGCAGGCCGTATAAGACGCTTGTGCAGTGTTCTGTCAACCAGTAGTAGCTCAACTTGAAGGGATGAACCCAACGTTCTTCGTCGTTCTTCATTCAGCCGCTCTAGCGTGCGCACACACAATATTTCAGGTACGCCAACATCACCACTTGATGAGCCGCTGGATCACCGTCATTCCCGGTGGTAGAGGGTATATGTGGACGGCGTTGGCGAAGGACATCTGTCCGGGATACGGATTCCCGAGTCCAACTGGGCGAGTAGTGCATCCCTCACAGGACGACCTCGAGCTCACCTCTGCGACACATAGCCTATCATGGATCTCTCTTCGAATGGTACTTGGTTTCCCGTTTTCCATACGGAACATTGCATGACGAATGTTTCTAGATATTATCTGTAACGGCGGCGTAAATCCCTACCACGAACCCGTGTCCCTCGCCATCATCCAAGTGCCCGCAGGGTCGACCATCACAGCCGAATGGCACCCCACCATAGACGACGTCAACACCACCGAGTCAATCCGGCCTGACCACAAAGGCCCCGTCATCGCATACCTGTACGTGCTCCCTCTGCTCTCCCGCTTTCCTTCTGCTCACCACCTGCGTAGTGCAAAAGTCCCGGATGCCCTCCAAACAGACGTAGCAGGTCTCAGTTGGTTCAAATTCTACGAAGACGGACTGTCCGACGACGGCAGCTGGGCAACCGACCGGCTCATCGCCAACGCGGGCAAAGTCAACTTTACCATCCCCAGCTGTATCCAGCCCGGCGCCTACCTGCTGCGACACGAAATCATCGCCGTGCATAAAGCTCAGACGTACCCAGGAGCTCAATTCTACGTACGTACACTCCTCACGATCTTCGTCTTCGAGGTAGAGACAGCTGCTACCCCGCAGATGGAGTGCGCTCAGCTGAATATCACCGGTCCCGGCTCGGTCGTTCCCTCGCCAACCGCGACCTTTCCCGGTGCCTATGGGAGCACGGACCCTGGTATCACTGTCGACATTGAACGATTGATAAACTACACCGTTCCAGGTATGCCGGCAGAGGGTTAAAGGTCGTCCCATCAGCTGATGTCGCGTAACAGGCCCGTCTCTCTTTAGGTGTAAAGGGACTTCAGATTTCTTGCGTTAAGGACGATTAGGGGATCGCGGGCTGGTTCACTTAGAAGAATCGTGTTGTGAAAATAATATAACATTGCACTAGATTTACAATTGCGTACAATAATGCCAACGATAACAAACAGCCACACAAAGGCATAACCGCTCGACAAAATGAGATCACTACTCTAAATGCACGAGTCCATCCATCCACTCCTTTCACCTCGTTGATATCACCATCCTCATCCAGCCTGCTCTCAATGACCCCTCCTTCCACGCCCCCCGCTCCTTCCAAACTGAAATTGGAATCCACCGGGGCCACCGCCAAAGAACTCTGCGAACGGGTGTCCCTCGCTGAACGCAAACTGCGCCCCGCCGCCGGGGTGGAAGCCGAACGGCGAGCCGCCCTGCTGGAAGGGATGCCCGCCCTGCTGGGACATCGGATCGTTGGGATCGTCGCCCGCGTCGAACCGAGCGCGCAATTCTGCCAGCGCGAAAAGAAAAATATTCGTCAGCATTGCGTTATAGGGAGGCCAGTGTACCAATACGAGAGAAGGGAATGTACCTGGGTTGGAGAGCACCTCGTACGCCTCGTTGACGGCTGCCATTTTAGCTTCGCTACCGCCTTTGTCTGGGTGGGCTTTCATTGTCGCTTTGCGACTGCGCATTCGTATATAAATAGTCAGAGCACTGAGTTGCTAAATTGTAAAGGTGGCAAACGAGTACGCACTAGGCTTTCTTGATCGTCTTCTGGTCCGCATCCCTTGCAACACCCAGAACCTTGTAATAGTCCTTCTGCTTCGACTGTTTCAGGAGCTTCTGAGCCTTCTGCAACGACTGCATCACCTGCAAATGTGAATGTAATGCGTCAGCGTACTGTGTGCACGCACAGCCTCCAGTGAAAATCAGACGCACTTCACGATCGCTCCTCCCGGTTGCCTCGAACGCCTTCTCGAGCACCCTCACAGCTTCCTCCCACTCTTCCTTGACGAGCAATGCCTCTCCGCGGCCCACCAGGCCGATAGCATCATCCTCCATACCCTTCATACCTATGGATTTCCCTTAACTGCTGGTATTCTCGTTTCAGCAACTATAGCACCCACCTAGCAGGCTCGCGCAGTACGTCTCACCCTCCTTGGCCTTCCCAAGCTTTGTATACGCCCGACACGCGCTGCGATACAGCTCCGCGAGCCTCGGACTGCTCTTCATCGGCTGCAAACTGCTAGGCAGCTCCTCCTTCTCGAAGTGCTCCTTCACAGCTTCCTCAAACTCGCTGATCAACCCTCCCTTGCCTGTGCTCTTCTTCGGTACGAGGAGGTTGATCAAGCCGTACCACTTCGAGTCGGCTTCGTATGAAGACAGCTTGTCCGTGGACTTTGCCAAGGTCTTAACCAGCCGCCGCGCAGAGAAGCACGGTTTCGAGTCGGGGTCGTAGTGCAGGCATTGTTTCAGCGTGGACAGCGCGGACTCGGTCGAAGTGGGAGGGAGCAGGAAGTACGTCAGTCGGAAGATGCGCATGTACAGCGGTGTCGAGGCGGACGTTAGATGGGTGATTCGACTGCATGCTCATTTAGTAAGGCAGAAAAGTTAGATGCATAGGTCCACTTACGTCAGGTCCCCCACCGCGCTTTCCACGTCACCAGCCTGCAACGAGCACTGTACCCTCAGCTGCCTCAGGTCGACAGAGTGCGTAGCCGTCCGCAGCGCAATGCTGCTCTCCTCCTCGCACAGCGTCCACAGGTGTGACTTGGCCGCCTGTCGCGCCTTCTTCTCCGCCGACTCCCCCTCGCTCACGCTCATCATGATCTCCATCGCCTCCGGGTCGCTCGCCTTCTTGGCCTTCCCGTACTGGGCCAGGGACGCCCTGGCCTCGGCCCAGTGACCCGAGAGAGCATGGATGCGCGCCTTGACGAGGTGCGCCTTGTCAAAGGTATTGTTCGTCAGTTCCAGCACCTTGTCGAGGTCCGACAACGCCTGCGGGTATCGCGAGAGGGAGAGGTAGGCGGTGGCGCGGCGGTAGTAGAGGAGGTAATCGAGAGGGGATTGCTCTACCAGTCAAGTCAGTTATCTGTCCAGGTGTGAAGTCGTGTAGCGCACCGATTGCTTCCGAGTATATTCGTGACGCTTCGTTAAACTGCCCTGCAGAGAAGAGTGTATTCGCGCGGTTGATCAAGGGCAGCAGCCCTGGCGGGTACAATGCCGATCCACTACTGGGGTCGGCGAGGATGGCATGAGGGAATGCAAGGAGAACTAGGGCCGCTAGCTTCGTAAATAACACCATGTTCCGTTGCGCGAGACGTCGCCGGCTCAAAAGAGCGAGGTAGCCAGATCTTAGAGAAGAGGAGAATGGTCAGAACTGGTTGAACTGTCGGGAGCGGTTGCGAACTTACATCTCAAGGACACGTTGCGTTTCCCACGATATGTTTATATCCTCGGTGTCGACGCAAGCCACTCAAGGCGAATCAGGTCAGACTCTATCCAAAGTCAGTGAACGGAATCCACGGCTCCCAGAACAAGGCTAGCTGTGCGTTTTGGCCAGATTCTCATTCGTTCAGTACTAGTGCGGTGAGCGGGGACTTGCTTGGGCGACGATGGCGGGATGAGGGGAGAGGAGAGGGGAGAATGTCAGTTAGGAGGCAGCCCGACGCTCTTATATAGGTTTTCTGAAGAGTCAAAGGAAATGAAGTGTCACTTGGGCACTTCTACGAAGGAAGTTAGAGAACATATACTGCTTTGGGTAGTACTAGCTCCATATAAGGCAATGATGATCGGAGCCACAGCCACTTCTCGTCGTCGTGATCAGCTGAATCCGAACCAATGCGAACCATCGTCGACATGGCGGAGCTTCGAATGATAAATCACTGCAGACCTTCAAATTAAATTACTACTAGAGCTGTGACTACGTCAGGAGCAAGCTCGAGCTCGTCCTACGCGATATAACAATTCTGACGGAGGCGTCATTTATTGGCGTCGGGAGCATCTGCGATTGCATATGCCTCCCGTTACATATCTAAAAAAATCAAAAATCGTTGAGAGAGGGTCAAAACGTGATTCTTCCGAGTCCTGACGATATCCGACTGACGCGGCCCCGCCCAACACTACTCCTGCGGTAGATACCCTCCACGAGGGCGACGCAGCAGGATAGGATCTGGTCTGCATCATATAGCGGGAGGTACAACGCCGCGAACATTCTCTTCCTGTTTCCTATTCTTCTTGAATTTTTTTCCAAATCACCAGACGGGAGGTGAGGTCGCTGGACCAGACCAACCTCAACAAGGTTATTGCGCCAGTACTTGCCCCATCAAACATCTCTCCTGTACCGTCGTCACCCGGTAATTGCCGCACATTTGTCGCTTGGATATTAAAGGAATTTATTCCCTTCCAAGAACATTTCGGGTGGATGGCGGCATTGACGACGCACGTCTCTAGTATCATATTTTCACTTTGGATGGAACACCCTTCCACGGCAGCATTCTATTCCAGCGCAATGCGACGTAAGGTCCCAACGAGAGGATACCGACCGGCGTGAGCCTGAGAGCGTATCTTCCGGGTCGGCTGCCGCCCAGACCGCCTTCGAGGTACAATAGCGCACCCCAGCTAAAGCCTATGACGGCGGGTAGAACTTGGCGAGAACCTCTCCCAGGTCCACATCCTTTTCCAAGGACGCAGCAAGCTCCCAGATGGATGACCAACTCCCTCGATCCGATGCAGTAAGATAGGCATCCGGGTCGAGGAAAGGGAAAATGCCGACCAAATACCTGGCGATGGCCTCCTTGGCATCTTCTGGGACGGAGACAGCTGGAAACGCCAGTATCTGCCCCCGGTAACAGAAGTTGGGAAGCGCAGCAGGGACTGGGACTGACGGATCTATGGGTAGGCCGAGGTGCAGAATCAAAGGACACCTGCGAACGACCTCCGACAAACATCCGATGCTGAGGTCCGGGGCACCCGGGCCCACGATGATAGACAGGAGCACCATATGGGGCCACGCCGCGATAATGGGCAAGAAATCGCTTTCTTCGAAAGGAATCGTGATAAATGGTGCCGTCTTGATGCCCAGAACCTCGAGACGAGGTAACTTCGTCAGAGGGCGCAGGACGTCCTCTACCAACCACTCCACGGGTTCTTCGTCGTGCGGGAGACTCGCGAAGGCCGTGAAATGCGTGTAAAGCACTTCGAGGTTGGGGAATCGCGAGATAAAGTCGTAAATAAACTTGTGTTCGCCAATGGCGCCACCCTCTTCCGCCCAGCATGCGCAGGATAGACAGGTCAGCTTCTCCGCCATGAGATACAGGAGCCCGCGCGTAACCGACCACATATTTCCCGCGATATCCAGAGTCACCAACGATGGTAGTCCGACTGTGGTTCCGACGAGCAATGAGTCTCAGGCGTCTTCCAATTCGACGCCAAGGGTTGTGAGATTTTGCATGCCTGACAGGGCCTGGAACGCGTCCCAGCCGATACCCTGTGTTAGACGGAGTGAGCGCAGATTTCTGAGTCTCGGCACTTGCATCAGGGCGTGTTATGATAGAATATTCAATATTCCATTCGCCCACATGGAACTCCCGCAACTCGGGGGTGCTCTTCACGAGGGAAGCCATGAGAAAGCCTAACGCCGGATCCTCGCAGAGGTCGCTGCCGATGTCGCTGTCGCCGATATGGGCGCCAGCGAGTGGAGGGTTAACATGCAAAGAAACTTCATGGCGAGTGGGGGTCGGTCGAGGGAGGCATATGATTCTCCTGAGGTTCGGCAAGAGAGGTGCGGGGAACGTCTCGCATAAAAATCGAACGACAGACTCGTCAATTCCATGACTCTCGTGCGAGGCGCTTGTAAAAACTACCTCCCGGATTCTCCGTGCATACCTACGGAAGGTCTGACGATCTTTGGAAGTAATAGGGCGGTCCACACGCTAGACATGCCTACAGTTAAATAGGGTGTTGCCAGTATACAGTTATACTCAATGAATCTCACAAAAGTATCCTTCTTTTTACGGGTTCAGCAAGGAGCAGAACAAGGGGAGCGATTCCATCCAGTCTTCGCCACAATGCATCGAGCGCAGGCCCGCAGAAGTCGCGGCAAGTGAGAGCGGCACAGAAAAGAGAACGCCTCGACGACGACTCTGAGATGACTAGTTGACAATGATTTCGTGTAGAACATCGTGCATGCGGAGGGCAACATGCATATTGAAGAAAGAGATACAGCCCCTGAGTGGACGGGATTTTGGTCAATTTCCCTTTTCGGTAGTTATGTCATTCATTCTATGTAATACTTAGATTCGCACTTAGCTTTCCGGTCCTTACTTTCAGTTTGTTCCCCTACCTTCTCAAAACCCTCAGGCTCTACATCTACTGTCCACTGGAAGGGTCGTAGTCTTACATAGACAGGTTGTAGGTATGGTTGATGGACTGTTGGCAATAGGAGCTTCGGCCGAAGACTCCTCGGAGTCGACTCAGTCGAGCGACATATATCCCGCAGCACCGCCGACTGACACCGTCTTCAGAGAGGACCACACAATATTGTTCCCCCCTAAGTTTTTAGACTTTGAATTGAATCGGACAGCTCACCGACTTGTACCATACTACAGGATCGCTGCGACCTGCACGTATCCGATATACTTCCATGCCACGCCCGATATACTGTACAACTGATAATTCCGTCTCAGATAACTGAATGCGTGCCTGCGCTCGCAGAATGGCTAGTACCGCTGGAAAGCGCATGTCCGCGGAAGTGAGACGCGCTGCTCCCCTCTTTGCCCGCTGAGTGGGACCGAACACGGACATGTCCACGATGGGACGGCGAGCCACGCCCTCCTCACGTCATCAACATACTCACTGACGTGGGATCAGCCTTGCACCTGGCTCTATTTTGCGCACTAGTCCGTTTGAAGTGTCGACAGGACTACGATATTGTTCCATTATAATTTACAAAAGTTTGCAGAATTTTCGATGGTGCAACAGTTGGAAGTGGCCCCCTCTATTGCCCTCTGGAGATGCCACAGACATACCAGTCTGTAAGTAAGCAGTCTCTATAAGTCGGTGTGAATACTGCAGTCGAGCCAGCCCTAATCCCGTATCTAGATAGAACCCGAAGCTTGATCCCGATCTGAAGATAATCATAGCGATAGACTAAGCAAATCCGATGAAGGATGCCCTTGCTGAGAAAATCAGGGTCGCTGACATCGGGTTGTCGAGCTTGCCTTGGTCAGAAAATGGAATTTGTTGTTGACGGGAGGTCGCATCGTTGCCTATGTCAACACGCAGATCAAGCACGGAAGACAGTACGGACCTTCGTGCACAATGCTGCAATTGATTTACACGGCATCCTCAGTCAAGCCCGTGCTACTGACATGCTGACTTGAATTGCTAGGCTGCCACCTCATTTGTACGGATTCTCAATATTCGTACCAGCAAATTTTCCGCGTCCTTCATTCGCTCTTCTCTGTGTCGAGATGTTCGTTCCCGAAGCGGTTACCTCTAGAAGTCAGGTGGCATAACTTCGCGAAGGGCGTATCGGGATCGGGAGTCTCATCGGCGATTGTGCCGAGCTTCTCCAAGGTTTGTCTGCATCGAGCCAAACAGACACAAAGGCGCAAATTGCCACAGCGATATACCAGGTAAGTGCCTGCACAGAAGAGAGGCGACTTCCTGGCGGTCCAGTACGATTCGCGAATTAGTCATAGCGACCGTCGACCTATAAGCCTGTACGTTGGCTGTTCGATCAATATCGTCGGTGAGCTATTTGCCTGGCTATTTCTCGGTTCTCCCGTTGGATGCCATGTAAGAGCTAAGTCCTGGGGTACATAGACCCTGTGACCTTTCATTCATCAGATGTGTGGTTTCACTCGGCGAAATAAAACGCATTATAGCCACGGAACTTCCTTCCTTGAATTACCTCCGCGGGCGGTTGCTTACGGCCGACACCTGTGTTGTCTGGCAAGTCACCGTTGGGGCCGCCTAATGGCAATTCATCCAAAGCTACCGACTCAAGCTCGCTAAGTTCCCCGTTCCTTCTTGTACCTCGTTAATTGGGGTAACTATGCCTAAGGTATTCGCTTTCGCATCGACGGCGGCTAGGTACAACGTGGTCGCAAATTGCAACTCGTCGCAGATCGTCGAACATAGCGTGAGTGCGCGTTGTTCCCACGCGGATGGCCAGGATACTTGTGTAGTATCTTAGAGCCGCGGTGATCCATGGGCCTCAGTCTACTCCAGTCCTTACGTTCTCTACCCAACGGACATACCCGGGAACCCCATCGGAATACCATCGAATACCCGTTGATGGCGGACAAGTTGTAACCAGCCGTCATCTTCTTGAGCAGGAGCCAACTACTTGGATGCTCTGACTTCGTTTCGAGGGATTGTGGATAGACGCATGCGGCGATTGACGTAGGTGCCAGAGCTTCGAGACGCGCGTAGGGTCAGCGGCGATGCAAGGTTTCGTTCCTGAAACTCGCTAAACCACAGGGAATCTGAGGGCTTCAATGAGAGTGTATCCGAGTGAACTCCGTCATCCACAGTTCGGATCCCACGCCATCCCAATGATTGGACTCAGCGACTCGGATATGCATTGCAAGCGTGGACTTTACAAGACAGCGTCTAGGTAAGCGCGAGCCAAAGCCTGCCACAAGAAATTGTGTCCGACTGCTTCAGTACTTAGTCGGACAGCTCCAAGTCAGAAAAATCATCGGCTTTTACTCCGGTACCTAAGAAAATTGAACAAGGGGGTGCGGTGAGGACGGTATTTTTGTGGGCAATCGAAAAATGATAATTCACCGGAACGACGCAGCTGAGGCGGCAAGATATTTGATGAAAGACTTCGTGCTTCGTGATAGGAGGACCCTGAACGATGCAGCGATCTCGGACTGTAGGGTTCTTCCTCCTCCTTCTCACCAACACTCGGAGAGTAGGGTGCACTATGGAGTGAGACGCCATGATCTTGGCGATGAGTGCTGCAAGCCTCTCGTCTACGCCGCGTAGATCGACCTCCAGGCCTTGAGCGCGCTCGGGGTAAACCGTTTGCTAGTGCAATATGGTTACGATAGTGCCTGCGCATATTCGAGTTAACATTGAATAAGCGTCCACACTGGGGCCAGTCGCATCTGAAAGCTGGTCCGCGGCGAGGTAAGCATCTAACATATTGATCTGGCTAACAGACAATGCTCACGCTTGGCTCCGGTATGTGTCGTCTCGTGGATCCGGAGACTACTAGGTCGATTGAATTTCTTATGACAGATGCTGCAAGTATGTCTTCTCGCCTCATCCCACATCTCAAGCTTGGCGGGCATCGGGAGTGAGTACGACTTGACATCACTGTGATAATGATGGTTTTTGTACGAGTTGGACGGTGAAGATGGGCTCTTTTCTCGGGATAAACCGGACGCACTCTCCTCGTTGAGTCCAGTGTGACTTCGCGTCTGCTGCCGTGGCCGGTCGACAACATCGCTAATCCAGAAGGTTTGCTCGAAGCTGTGCCGCCTCCTCTCCAGTTCGGTGCAGAGGCTGACACTTGTCGACCGCGTGACATTTAAATCTTCATGTCGGCCAACAGGTGCGAACGGTTCCTGAGACTGAGAAGGACTGCAACGCGATTCCTGTCTCTGCAATGATTCCTGAATATCATCCAAGCGCAGGGCGGTGTCTTCATCCATGGAGTTGGACGTCGCCTGCGGCCCGTCGAGGAATTCTGCTGCGAGAGTGAGAAAGGTTGCGGACGAGTTGTCGCCGTTAAAAATCAAAGCTTCGCGGGACGTACTGGAAATGAACGCTTCTGGTGACGCAGATCGGCGTTTTGGCTGCGGCACGCAGTTCCTACAGTGACAAGTATCTACTTGCACCCACTCCTTGCCATACAGATGGCTATTAAGATGCTCTAGGGCAGAACGACGCATTAGACGGCATCATTCAATAACCACGGACAATCTCACCAGGAAACAACTCTCGTATGCCAGGTAAACGACTCATTGATGTGCTGCAGAATCGAAGTCGCCTGTGTAGAATGTGAGCAGTCCAAGGAGGAATTATGATTGAGAATCTCATACGGGTTCGACGAGGAGGCTACGCTCACAATCAACGTGCCTCCAGCGTATCACGGGCTAAGATGAGGAGGGCAACAAGATTGGGATGGGCTTTATTAGGTGCTAGCACCTGAGGGGTACATTGATAACCGTGTGACTCCGAGCGATACGGATGAGATAGGCTTAACGCGCTTCGTAATGGGGATGTCAGGTCTACCACTCGGATCGACTGATTCGGTGGCAATGGATCGTCAATGGATCCGTGCCTAAGGATGTGCAAGCCCTGAGAATGTTATCGCGGTTTGGGTCTAATTTTCTAATATTCGACGATCAACGCCTCGGGTCCGCCATCAATTCTAGACATTGTCAGGAGGGATGGAGAGGCCCTAACAGGGTGGTGGGATTGACGTACCAGGATGGGTATTGATAGTCCTTGAGTCCCAGAATAAGAGTCCTAATCACTGGATGCGCTCAAATGCCACGTCAGTCGAGATCATGCCATCACAACCACTGTTGTGGTCGATGTTGGGCTGGCTGCTTCGCGACTTCCTCCTTTGTGACTGATTACTTCATACAAGTCGGTGCGGCGACGTCCTTCAAGACTGTCGCGGATGCGAGCACAGAGGACATGTTACCGTGATGCGTCTTCGTTGCAGCGCTTCTAGGTTCCATTCATTGTAAGTTCCGTCAAGATGCCTTCTCCGGGGTCTGCCGAGTTTCTACATTCAAAATGTCTTAAAAGCTTGAGTACCGGAAGGAGGAGAAGTGGTTCAGTGGATCATAGGGGAGGTCCGAGCACATACACCGTCCAAAGCAGTAGCTGGGTCCGGTGTACATCGTTTCCGGATCTATGAAAAAGTGCTGGATGGCAGATCATGGCGTGATGCAGTAAGTGTGCATGGAAACGCACTGGAATGTACGTGTGGTCGCGCGGAGCTCCCAAGCATTTGATACAGGTAGACGAACCGGGAAGTGAAACTTTGGAACTCGGCCCGGACATCCACTCGCCCTGCCCGTATGGAATGGCGATTGTGCGAGCTAAGCTCTGGCGCGAAGATGCAGACTCAAAATTAGCGTAAGTCTGGTCAGGCAGGTATCCATGTCGAGTAAGTCTGCGTTATTTTGCGGATGCTTGAACCAGTATAAGCGAAGCTGTCCAAACAGTATGGTTGATGATACTCAGTGATGGCTGGGAGGTTAGCTTCACTACTCGTAAGGAACGTCGTAGACAGTGCGCCGCAAATTGGCTCCGAGTTACTCAGCGTCGGCGGCGCGGGACTGTCTGGCCCGGTGGACAATGAGACAGCTGGGCTGGAATGAAGACCACGACATGTCCGATCACGAGAGAACATCATAGACCTAGAATTCGGGGGGATCGCCTATGTTTAAGGATGGTCATTCTAATATCTTCTACGTCCTTGGAGTCATTGGGGATGAACTCTTATTGCAGTGCCTATGAAGACTGTTGCTATGCTACAAGAATTAGCTATGGCCAAGGGATGAAAAATTAACGTACGAGAGGCAGCAAGCAAAGAGATAGATACAACGGCTCGACGTACCATGTGACAAGCTGGAGCTCTTTGCCCTGAGCCCTTGCTTCTTGAGACGCGAAACGTTCGCTAGCAAATGGCTTAATGGGGTATGCCGAAGCGAAGGACCGTGGATCTATTGCAGTTGGTTTAAAGCGCTCGATGAGGCACTCCAATCGTCCTAGATCAGAGCAGTCTCGTCGAGTATCGGGTGATCAGCCGTACGTATAGACCGACTGCTCCTCGACCTCACCCACTTCCCATGATGGTATCGAGTCAGTCACGGCGTTTTGCGAGGCTCGTCCATGGTCCTCCAGCCAGCAAAGTATGCTTAGGTGTGCTTTCTAACCGCGGTGCGTTGCAGGATCCGATGTATTTTCCGCTGCTGCTTTATGACGAGCAACGAACAGGCGTATTATCCATAATGACGGGTTCACAGTTTGGGCGTGACAATGACCGCACGAATAGTCAGAGCTGCGTCACGAGGACGAGGCGGGACCAGAATTATCAGTGGCTGCTGTGCCACAGTGCAGCCCGTGGGATACGTCCCATAGGGTACGCGACCCCAAGGCCTATTCACCGACAACGGCATCTCCACGGAGGAGGAGTCGATGACGCATAATATGCAACGACTGGCTCATACAGAATCCACCGGTCGGCTGAAGCAATACTCCCCGCTGCAGTGGGAGGACTCGGCGGCCGTACGCAGATAGGCAGCTGAGAGGCCGATTATCATGAATAGCAGCCAGCTAGACCGATCTGGACAAGGAACCCCATCGTCCCGATGTATCGCGGGCAACACCGCGTGTTTCCTACCTCCGGTAGTTTCTCGGTGAGTGCCATGCCATTGCTAGCGAGTTGCAACCGCTGTCGTTCCAAGTACGTCAGTCCAAAGGCTATGGCTATCTGCAGCAACATTTACTGACCTCGTAACGCAGCCATCTGGAACATCGCGCCTTCAGGACTGTATGAACTCCTGTGAGAATATAAGCGGATGATTTGACTCGCAACGTCCCTGTCGAAGTCAGGGACTTCCGAAGCCAAAGCGGAGAGATGTACGATTCACTCACAAATAAAGCAAACCGCCACCGCTTCAGTACTCTGACACCGACAGAGCCCTGATCAGGTTTGTAACGTAGTTAGGCTTCCAAAAGTATATAAACGATTGCACTCTCTCGGTATCGGACATACCCGTTCAATCGCTTGGATTCGACGGGGTCCGAAACACTGGACTCTGCGCATTGTCATTATCGCAGTCTTGATATTGGTCCGTGTGCTATCCAATTGCGAGAGCAACTACCGATTGAGAGCGCTACACATAAGTCCGCTAGCAGGGGGCAGCTCAACATAATCAGGAGATTGCTCACAATCGATTGACGGTAGAGCACCATGCATTTGGTCCTGTCTGAGCGCGGCACAATGATCCGAACGTCCTAATGCTATTTATGTGAGCGATGGACGTACACCGGGATGTTATACATACACGCATTATACCCCATAGTTCTTCATCACATTCTGAAGCCTGCTCCCAATCGCTAGAGAAAGGGGTAGGGGTAGGTTTGGCCTGCCTGAGTAAACTCATGCTCGATGCGCCTATTCCTCTGCCGCAAGGGGTGAGCTATTCGTGCTGCGTCAAGCTACCCTCGAACCACGCCGCGTGAAAGAGTCCGGACGGATCTTGTATAAGTAGTGGCGTTGCAATGGGCACACAATAGTTGTGTTATGTTTCTGTCTCTGGGTAGATAGGTAACCATGAGTGAATAATGGGGCTGCATTTCATGCCTATAAAATCCCCGGTGGGCGGCCTCAGTACCCGGCGGGCCGCGAATATATATTCCTCGTTTTGCGGATGTATTTGGTTTTTCAGTGAGCCTGCAACAGGCTCGACCAAATACCAAGACGGTCAAAGAACACGGTGGCATGAGATACGTCGTGAAGTAAGCTTACTACATTCTACCGGTTGGCAGTTGCACCAGCGTCTCGCTTGGGATCAGCATGGACTGCCTGATGTGACTAGCACTATTAGTTAGCCTTCGTTTGTGAGCAGCGACAAGAAGGCCAACGATTGGAGATTATCTGGTCTCCGGATCCATGCAAATAATTTTGTAGTATTGTGCTTGTGAGTACGTCTTGTTAGTGTTGCTCCTGCAGTGAAGTTGCAGTGTTGCACAGTGGAGTTTTTGACACTTCAACCCGAGTGAAGTGAAGTTGAAGGCGCTTCAATGTCTTCATTGAAGTGGGCAGATCAGCCACGGAATATCCCGTAATATTCCCACATACGCGTGGTGAAGGCACTGACTTGTCCTCGTAGGACGAACTCGGGGATATCTGCATATACATTGTACTCTAAAATACACTAATAATGCCCATACCATCTGCCAGGACGTACGATACCAAAAGTCAAGTCGACACCTTGTCATATGGACTCCTGACGAATTTCTTGAGCCCAGTGCAAACTGCCAGCATATCATGGAGGCTATCTGCCACAGCCATTCTATTGTTATCTCTGCACGGGGTATGACGCGGAGTAGATGCGACTCTGCGACTCGGACACCACTTGGACGCAGGGCGAGCGCGTCTGGTGGCGCGCGCTGCCATTAACGGTCAGCACGTGGCCATGATCAGACTTCAATGCAGTCTTCAAAGGCAATTCATGACGACTGTGCAGTGGGTGAAGTACGTCAAACTTGAAGTGAAGTGAGACAGTCTGCAAGTCACCTCACTGCAGGGAGCAACACTACGTCTTGTGTACTAGTATCTTTTTAGAAGCGTCAGCCTAAGACGGCGGGTTGGGGACGATCGGATTTCAGAT